TTAGGTGGCCAAGGACAGAATGACCAGTGAAAAGGGAAGGTCACGACTGTTGGCCTTGCTGGGTGTGTTGCAAGAACCGATGAATGAAGGCTGCCAGAGGGCAGCTCTTCAGACACGGGTATGGTCAACAAAGATGGCCGCCACCATGGCAAGGTAACGGAAGCTCCATCCTCTCGTGGCGTCCATTTTGGGTTTTCTTTTTTTTAGGCCGCCACACCCCACAGACACCCCTCTGCAGTCCTCAACTTACAACCATTCCTTTTTTTTTTTTTTTTAATTTGATTTATATGCCGCCCTTCTCCGGAGACTCAGGGCGGCTTACAATGCGCTAAGCAATAGCCTTCATCCTTTTGTATATTTATACAAAGTCAGCTTATTGCCCCCACAATCTGGGTCCTCAATTTACCTACCTTAGAAAGGATGGAAGGCTGAGTCGACCTTGAGCCTTGGAGAGATTCGAACTATTGTGCAGAAATGAATAGATTAACTATGGTGATAAAGGAAAGAGAAGATGCAGACTATTTTAAGATATGGAATAAATTTTACTATTGGTTAGGAAAGAGATACCAATAAGTTTTTAAAAGAGATTTTTTTTAAAAAAAAAAAGGGTTGTAATTAGAATAAATATACTGCTCAAAAAAATAAAGGGAACGCAAGCAGAAGACATCCGAGATCTGAATGAATTAGCCTTATTAAATACTTTGTTCGTTACATACAGTAGTTTATACACTGCTCAAACACCTAAAGGGAACACAAAACTACTGTATGTAACGAACAAAGTATTTAATCAGGCTATTTCATTCATTCAGATCTCGGATGTCTTCTGCTTGTCTTCCCTTTATTTTTTTGAGCAGTCTATATTAGGGGAAAATCTTTGTAATGGATTTGGTGAGATTGAAAACAGAAGAGGAGAGAAGAAACTTTGGAAGATAACACCGAAATGTCACAATGGAAGAAATGAATGATGTACTAAATGTTTGTTTGTCTTAAAAAATAAAATTAAAAAAAAAAAAACAACAACTTATAACCATTCATTTAGCAACCTTTTGAAGTCACAATGGCACTGGGAAAAGGGACTTATGATTGGTCCAGGGGTGAAATCCAGCAGGTTCTGACAGGTTCTGCAGAACCGTAGCGGAAATTTTGAGTAGTTCGGAGAACCCACAAATACCACCTCTGGCTGGCCCCAGGAGTGGGGAGGGAATGGGGATTTTGCAGTATCCTTCCCCTGGAGTGGGGAGGGAATGGGGATTTTGCAGTATCCTTCCCCTGCCACGCCCACCAAGCCACGCCCACAGAACCAGTAGTAAAAAAAAATTGAATTTCACCACTGGACTGGTAATCCTCACACTTATAACGATCGCAGCATCCCCACGGTCTTTTAATGACCCCATAATCCCTTGCACCGGGTGGAGTTGGGGCAACTGAATGGAGCTGAGTGTTTTACTGGCTGGATGCCCTTCCTGTTGCCAATACGGAGTTTTGTTCAGCAGAGATATTCTCATCGAGCCCAAGAGAGAGAAATATCTTCCGCTACCTAGGATCGAACTCACAGCCTCCTGATTGTGAGGCGAGAGCTCTAGGCCACAGCACCACTCACCCCATCCCCATGGTCACATGGTTAAAATTCAGGCACTTGGCAACTGTCCTGTATTTATGACGGTTGCGGCATCCTGAGGTCAAGCGATTGTCATTTGCAGTCTTCTGACAAACAAAGTCAATGGGGGGAGGGGGAAGCCAGGTTAACTTAACAACCATGTGACTAACTTAACAACGGCAGTGACCCCCTTAACAACGATGTCAAGAAAGGTCGTAAAATGCCTCGCTTGAGGTTGGTTGTATGTAGAGAACTACCCGTAGCTAAACTGCTAATAGATTTAGTAGTAGTAGTAGTTTATTTAGCGCCTGGCACTGCAAAGAGATGTGCCAACAAAGGGATAAAATAAAGAGTGCCATTCTCTCAACTTGAATTTCCTTCCTTCCTCCCTCTCCCTCTTTTTCTCCTTTCCTTCCTTCCTTCCTTCCTTCCTTCCTTCTTGAGTTTTCCAAAGAAACAGTGTGATGGAAGTGCACTAAAATACAACCCCAATCAATCTGTCTTCTCTCTTTCTCTCTCGTTCTCCCAGATCTGGAGGGCTACTCCTTTGTTTTCTCCCACAAAGGCTACGTCACCTTGGAGGTGGAGCAACCTCAAGACCTTCTCCAGAACATCACCATCTGCCTCTGTTCTTTCTCCGACTCGCCATCCAAACAAGCCCTCTTCTCCTATGCCACCAAAGACCAAGACAAGGAAATCTTGATCTATAAGGTTCATAACCCAGCGGATGGCTTTTGGTGGTACACAGTCTACATCGGCGGTGTGCCTCAGCGCTTCCGGGTCCCCGATTCCTACCAAGATTGGCAGGAGATCTGCATCCAATGGGCATCAGAGTCAGGAATCCTCTCCTTGGAGGTCAATGGAAAAATGTTGGCCAGGAAGGTAGTACGTCAAGGTTACTTCATCAAACCCCACGCTTTGGTCCAGCTTGGGCGAGCCTACCATGAGGACGTTTTCTTCCATGGAGAGATCCAGAAAGTGAATATGTGGAACTCTACTGGCAATGTCCGCTCTACAATGTACACGCCACCCATGATCGGTTGGTCCAACCTGAACTATGAAACTCAAGGCAACGTGGCTCTGTATTACCTTTACAGCCCATATAATACCTGTCAGATGTACTAAATCTCCATCTCATATCTTACTCCGGTCATCTTTGGTCCTTCAGAATCCATCCAGCTCACCAGTGAAAACCCAGGACATTCAGATCACATTTGATCATCACACCCAGAATTTGGATCTCTGCCCATTTCCATTGGATCAGTTGAATCAGTTCAGACCTTCAAGACAGGGTGATTTTCCAAATTTCTTGGAGGGGGTAGTGGAAACGGAAAGTAGTTTGACTTGAAGACCTCCGACCTGATCCCTCAACCGGACCTTCTGAATTTTGATTTTTTTCAGAAATTCAGCGGCTGGAGCTTTGAGTCAAATGGCGAAATTGAAAGTTTCCCTTGCTTTTTGGAGCCCGTTGCCCCCCACATTTAGGGTTCAGCCATTGTGTCACTCATGGTGCTCTTTAAGTAGATGTTTCATGATCTATCTAGGTAACATCATAGTGCTAGAAGGCAGAGAGTTTGCAGAGAGGAGAAGGAGAAGGAGAAGGAGAAGGAGAAGGAGAAGGAGAAGGAGAAGGAGACGGAGACGGAGACGGAGACGGAGACGGAGACGGAGAAGGAGAAGGAGAAGGAGAAGGAGAAGGAGAAGGAGAAGGAGAAGGAGAAGGAGAAGGGGAAGGAGGAGAACCTAGTTGGGTCATGAAATGTCTGCAAGAGAACAATCAAGTTCAGAGAGCACCAAGGACTCTGTCAGGGTTCTGACGTGCCCTAATTAAATCATGAGCTTCGAGCCAAGCTTCAAAAGAAATCCAGTTATTTATTAGGAGCTTCATGTCGGCACCTTCCCAAGTGAAGCCAGCTCTGACCCTACATAATTTATGCCCCAATTATGATCCTGTTTCCCTCCCTCCCCTCAGGGTGTGTCATCAATCACATTCCAACGGAGCAATTTCCCGGGTTGTAGAGATCACTCCCCTCGGCTGCTGTAGGTAACCCTGGGAGACAGCCTCGAGAGAGATAAGCATGGAATGCGCATCTGTCTTTGGCTGCCATTCCGTTTCACCAGTTTCCCATCCCCTCTGGCCTATTGCAACTCGAGAGCAGGCCAGAGATGCTTTGCGAGTTGACAGACTCCTTATCTCAACTATAAGTTACAAGTATGGTCTTCTATCTGAATCTTGTCCCTTCTTCCTCACTCCCCCATCATCTCCTGTGTTTTTATAGGCATGGGCCACGTGGTTAGTACTCCTGGTAGTAAGCATTAAATGAGCATATTATGTGCTGCAGTTAAAACCAATATAGACATAGCGTTAAAAACAGCAGTAAAATTATAACGTACTAATCAATTATAACATCACGATATAAAATAAGGCACCTCTAGATTAAGAGGCTCGTAATATATCACGCTATCATTATTGATACATTAATACTTTTTGGGGGGAAGTTTTTGAAACAATATAATCCCTTTAGCTTTGCGCAAGAATAATTGTGGATAAATCAACCTCAAAAAAATCAAAAGTCAGGTGAGAAAAGACAGCGAAATCTTCAAATATCCAGGAACAAGACTTTTTCCCCCCAAATGCGTAAACCAGTAGTGAAATTCAAATTTTTTTACTACCAGTTCTGTGGGCATGGCTTGGTGGGCGTGGCTTGGTGGGCGTGGCAGGGAAGGATACTGCAAAATCTCCATTTCCACCCCACTCCAGGAGAAGGATATTGCAAAATCCCCATTCCCTCCCCACTCCAGGGGACGGATACTGCAAAATCTCCATTTCCACCCCACTCCAGGAGAAGGATATTGCAAAATCCCCATTCCCTCCCCACTCCAGGGGAAGGATACTGCAAAATCCCCATTCCCTCCCTACTCCAGGGGAACGATATTGCAAAATCTCCATTCCCAGCCCACTCTGGGGCCAGCTAGAGATGGTATTTGCCGGTTCTCCGAACTACTCAAAACTTCCGCTACCGGTTCTCCAGAACCTGTCAGAACCTGCTGGATTTCACCCCTGGCGTACACCAAGAGGAACAGTGCTCAATTTACGACCGTAATTGAGTCCCGCAAGTAGAGTTCTAAGTCGTGACGGTCGTAAATCAGATCATCACATGACCAGTCCTAATTTTATTAACTTTTTTGCAGCAAATTGTTAAGCAAACATGACGGTTATAATAAAGGAAACAGGATGGTCGTTAAGTGAACTCTGTGGTTCTTAAGCCAAGCCATTGTTCACCGTGAAGTGTTTTTTGTTTGTTTGTTTGTTTGTTTTGCAAGAAATTGGAAGTAAATGCTGATTTCTATCAAAAAACATTGGCAGCCTTTAATAAATTCATCCGTGTATATAACATCTTCATCAGGTCTTGTGGTTTTTTGGTCTGGAATTTCAGGGAGCCAACTTGCAATCCCAAAAATTTGTGCAGCCACCAAATTGGGTGTATATTTTATGGAACTAAGGGTATAGTTGTGAGTGCTGCAATTCAGGAAAAGGAGGAGGGGAGGAGGGGAGGGAGGGAGGGAGGGAGGGAGGGAGGGAGGGAAGAGAGAATGAGAAGGAGGGAGGAAGACAGAGGGAGGGAAAGATGAAGGAAGGAAAGTAGAGAAGAGCGAAGAAGGAAAGAAAGAAGTAGAAAAGAAGGCAGTGAGTTGGCAAGAAGGAGAAGTAGAGAAAGAAGGGGAGGAGGAGGCGAGAAGGAAAGAAGAGAGAATGAGAAGGAGGGAGGAAGACGGAGGGAGGGACGAAGGAAAGAAAGTGGAAAAGAGAGAGGGAGGAAGAAGGAGAAGTAGAGAAAGAAGGGGAGCGGGAGGGAAAGAAGAGTGAAGTAGGGAGGAAGACAGAGGGAGGGAGGGATGAAGGAAAGTAAGTGCAAAGAGGGAAAAAGGAATGAAAAAAGGAAAGTAGAAAAGAAGGCAGTGAGTTGGCGAGAAGGAGAAGTAGAGAAAGAAGGGAGAGGAGGGAGAAGGAGGAGGGGAGAGAAGAGAGTAGGAGAAGGAGAGAGGAAGATGAAGGGAGGGATGAAGGAAGGAAAGTAGAAACGAGGGAGGGAGGAAAGAAAGAAAGTAGAAAAGAAGGCAGCGAGTCGGCAAGAAGGAGAAGTAGAGAAAGAAGGGGGAGGAAGAGGGGAGCGTAGAAGAAGGAGGCAGGTAGATGGAGGGAGGGATGAAGGAAGGAAAGTAGAAAAGAAAGCAGCGAGTTGGTAAGAAGGAGAAGTAGAGAAAGAAAGGGAGGAGGAGGAGGGGAGAGGGAAAGAAGAGAGAATGAGAAGGAGGGGGAAAGACAGAGGGAGGGAAGAAGGAAGAAGGAAAGTAGAAAAGAAGACACTGAGCTGGCAAGAAGGAGAAGTAAAGAAGGAGAAGGAGAAGGAGAAGGAGAAGGAGAAGGAGAAGGAGAAGGAGAAGGAGAAGGAGAAGGAGAAGGAGAAGGAGAAAGAAAGAGAAGCCAATTCTCCCCAAATTCAACCCTCAGATATGCAGTGTCTGATTTGCGTAGCGTTGAGGTCACCAAGGGGCCCCTGCTATTGTCCAGCATGAACTCCTACGATCTTCACTGAAGGTCCGCAGCCTCCCTGTTTCCCAACCGTCTCTACTAAGTCCCAGGAGAAGCTCATCCTGAGATCCTTTCTCAGAAGACGAGCCATATCCTTCAACCTCTGGAGAACCTTAGACGATATCTGATGGAGAACTGGAGTCCGTCTTGACGTCGGACATTCCAGTGGCCCTTGGGAGTTTGAAACCGATCCAGGCCAACCAGCAGGATCTCTAACACAAGGCCCAATTCGCCTAAATTTTGAAAAACTTCATTCATTCTCTTGGGGTTGTTGTTTCCCCCCCCCCCGAGTCCTATCAGATGACTCCGATGTTATTGATATTCTGTCAGGTTGGCCTTTGATACTCTGGGTCACACCGAACCAACAGAAGAGACATCACAGTACGTTCGGTGCAACAAGATACAACAAGTGCTGAAAACAAACAAGGAAAGGTCCACCTTGATCGACGCAGAGGAGGTTGGGAATTCGGGGTTTCCAATGCTTTGGGCCTCCCATTTCACTTTGTACGTCAACCGTTTTGTGAACGGAACGGTGTTCCGTTTTGGTCGCCACGATGTAAAGAAAAAGATGTGGAGACTCCAGAAAGAGCGCAGAGAAGAGCAACAAAGAGGATTAAGGGAACCGGAGGCTAAAACATTCGACGAACGGTTGCAGGAACTGGGTATGTCTAGTTCGGGTGTCAGCAACCTGCGGCTCCGGAGCCGCATGTGGCTCTTTGGGCCCTCTGCTGTGGCTCCCTGTCGGGTGATCCCACCACTAGATGGCCCCGCCCCTCGCCCTCCCCTCCCAGTCACTCCTCGCCTGGCCTGAGAAGGTAAGCGTGACGGCGGGAGATGGAGAAACGGTCGGGGCAGAGACAGAGAGATACAGAGAGAGAAAGACGTAGAGAGATACAGAAAGGGGAGGAGAGAGAAGGAGAGAGGGGGGAGAGAGAGAGAGAGAGAGAGAGAGAGAGATGTCAAAAGGGTTTTGTGGTTCCTGGTGTTTTTTAACAAGCAGTTCTCTGCCCTAATGATTGACTGGGTAGGCGTGGCTACGGGGAGTGTCATGTGACTGGTGGAAGTGAGTGACATCGAGTTGGCCACGCCCACCCAGGTTTTGTGGCTCCCGCTGTTTTCTTTTCGGTGGGAAATCCCACTCTTGGCTGGCGCCGCCCGCCCCGCCCCGGCCTCCCCTCCCACAAGTCCCCACGCAGCCCGTTTTGGATGCAGGTAAGTGCAGGATAAACACAGAGGCTCAGGGAGGGCGAAAAATGGGCCTCTCGGAAGTTCAGGAAGGCTGAAAACGGGCCTGTTTCTGTCCTCCAGAGGGCCTCCGGAGCAGGCGTGGGTTCTAAAAAATTTTTACTACTGGTTTTGTGGGTGTGGCTTATTTTGTGGGTGTGGCTTGGTGGGGGTTAATGTGACTGGGTGGGTGTGGCCAACTTTTTTTTTTTTTACAGTTTTAAAAAGTAAAAGAGTCCCTTGGGAGTTGGGCGGCATAGAAATGCGACAAAATAAATAAAATAAAATGAATAAAATTTAAGAGGTTGTAGAAAAAAATGCTTTTAAAAGCCTCTGACAATCCCAGCTGAGCCGCACAATCATCAGAGGCTTTTTTTTTTTTTACCTTTAAAAGCAATTTTTCGGCCGAAGAGGTTGTAGAAAAAATGCTTTTAAAAATATTTTTAAAAAGCCTTTGATGAAGTGGGGGGGTAAGTGAGTGGCGACCGGGCCGGGGACCTGTTCGGGGGCATGGCAAGCCAATGTTATTACCAATTCTTCAAACTACTACAAATTTTTACTACTGGTTCTTGCGAACCAGTGCAAACCGGGAACAACCGACCACTGCTCCGGAGCCTGGAAAGGCCATTTTCGTCCTCCCGGAGGCTCAAGAAAAGCCACCGGAACCCAGGGAGGGCAAAAATCGAGTGTTTTTGCTGCCCGAGGAAGAAAATGCATGATGCCGCGGTCAGAAAAAAATTTGCCCAGGAGCAAAAAAAATTTTTTTTCACTCAAATGTAAGAACGGATGCTAGGATGTGATTCGGGGTGGAATTCATGCTTAAAAATGTTATTATTAGCTGTTTTTAAAAATCGAGTGTTTTTGCTGCCAGAGGAAGAAAACGCGTGATGCCGCGGTCAGAAAAAAATCTGCCCAGGAGCAAAAAAATTTTTTTTGACTCAAATGTAATAAGGAATGCTAAGATGTGATTCGGGGTGGAATTCCATGCTTAAAAATGTTATTATTAGCTGTTTTTAAAAATCGAGTGTTTTTGCTGCCCGAGGAAGAAAACGCGTGATGCCGCGGTCAGAAAAAAATCTGCCCAGGAGCAAAAAAATTTTTTTTGATTCAAATGTAATAAGGAATGCTAAGATGTGATTCGGGGTGGAATTCCATGCTTAAAAATGTTATTATTAGCTGTTTTTAAAAATCGAGTCTTTTTGCTGCCAGAGGAAGAAAACGCGTGATGCCGGGGTCAGAAAGAACGTTGCCCAGGACCAAAAAAAATTTTTTGACTCAAATGTAATAAGGAATGCTAGGATGTGATTCGGGGTGGAATTCCATGCTTAAAAATGTTATTATTAGCTTTTTTTAAAAATCGAGTGTTTTTGCTGCCAGAGGAAGAAAACGCGTGATGCCGCGGCCAGAAAAAACGTTGCCCAGGACAAAAAAATTTTTTTTGACTCAAATGTAACAACGGATGGTAGGATGTGATTCGGGGTGGAATTCCACGCTTAAAAATGTTATTATTAGCTGTTTTTAAAAATCGAGTGTTTTTGCTGCCCGAGGAAGAAAACGCGTGATGCCGCAGTCAGAAAAAAATCTGCCCAGGAGCAAAAAAATTTTTTTTGACTCAAATGTAATAAGGAATACTAAGATGTGATTCGGGGTGGAATTCCATGCTTAAAAATATTATTATTAGCTGTTTTTAAAAATCGAGTCTTTTTGCTGCCCGAGGAAGAAAACGCGTGATGCCGCGGTCAGAAAAAACGTTTGCCAGGACCAAAAAATTATTTTTCACTCAAATGTAATAACGAATGCTAAGATGTGATTCTGGGTGGAATTCCATGCTTTAAAATGTTATTATTAGCTGTTTTTAAAAATCGAGTGTTTTTGCTGCCCGAGGAAGAAAACGCGTGATGCCGCGGTCAGAAAAAAATTTGCCCAGGACCAAAAATTTTTTTTTGATTCAAATGTAACAACGGATGCTAGGATGTGATTCGGGGTGGAATTCCATGCTTAAAAATGTTATTATTAGCTGTTTTTAAAAATCGAGTGTTTTTGCTGCCCGAGGAAGAAAACGCGTGATGCCGCGGCCAGAAAAAAATTTCCCAAGGAGCAAAAAAATATTTTTTTGACTCAAATGTACCAACGGATGCTTGAATGTTTTTTGGGGTGGAATTCCACGCTTAAAAATGTTATTATTAGCTGTTTTTAAAAATTGAGTGTTTATGCTGCCCGAGGAAGAAAACGCGTGATGCCGCGGTCAGAAAAAACGCTGCCCAGGACCAAAAATTTTTTTTTGACTCAAATGTAAGGACGGATGCTAGGATGTGATTCGGGGTGGAATTCCATGCTTAAAAATGTTATTATTAGCTGTTTTTAAAAATTGACTGTTTTTGCTACCAGAGGAAGAAAACGCGTGATGCCGCGGTCATAAAAAAATTTCCCAAGGAGCAAAAAAATATTTTTTTGACTCAAATGTACCAACGGATACTAGAATGTGATTCGGGGTGGAATTCCACGCTAAAAATGTTATTATTAGCTGTTTTTAAAAATCGAGTGTTTATGCTGCCCGAGGAAGAAAACGCGTGATGCCGCGGTCA